TGTATATGCTTAATTAATTTCCATTTGAAAATTATGTACATTGTAATGATAATAATTGTGTAGGGTATTTGCAACTCGTTACTCAAGTCAAACAGATTTTGGTTAATTTTATCTGCCTGGCTGCAGTTAAAAATAGGCGGACAAAAGCGGCTACAGCAACAGAATGCGACTTACGCATTCACGAACACTCGCACACACACGTACACGCACGCATAGCGGATCATACAGATTTACATATGTACATGTACATGCATGTATGTATGTAGTATGACTTTCAACATTAGACAAGAGATGATGTATGGAATAAATTAAAAGTATGCTTTGCTATTAATTTAATCTTTCAATTGGAAAAAATTGGAAATCATGCAAAATTCATTCAGCCGCATCTTAGATTACGAGCCACTTATGTACATACATATGTAAAAAAGTAAATACATACATGTATGTAAATATGTACATACATATATACATACATATGTAGTTTGTTGAGAGACAATATATGTATGTATGTATGTACGTATTCGAACTTGTGAAAATGAATTTTAATAGACAAACTTCTCTCTTGAAATTGGAATTTAAATAAGCATATACATATGTTTTTACATACATATGTACATACATGCATACATATGTTTGTACATACATGTATTTACCTATGTTTGTATCTATGTACGCACGTATGCAAACACATGCGTTATTAGCAACTAACTGTGGTTCTGATCTATTAAAATTTGCAATTAAAGCGGCTACTGCTATTACATTTTAAAATTTTTGCTAATTTTCAATAACAATTTTTTATATGCACTTGCCGCTGGCCACCATCTGTCCGTCCGCTTGGCCACTTTAAAAATAGCACAGCGGCACTTGTGACTTCACATTAGCTGTCACACTCGCACTCCATATTTGCTATTCTGTCACTTGCCAGTGAAGTCGTAGGTATGAGTGTGTGAGTGAGCAAATGCATCTGATTTCGGATGCTAAATAGCAAACTAACGCGCTGTAAACAGCAGGCGCTGTTTAAGTTTGTGGCGTCAATGTTGTGCTCAATTGACAACGCGCCGCAGTTTGATGCCGTGTGTGCCACTTTTCTCATACCGTCCTTGACCCAAAAGCTATACCGGCAAATAACAAATTGACGCCTCGCCTAACAGTTTCCACTCACACATATGCATGTACATGCATATACACTTACATATAAATGCATTTAGTGCCAGCCTCGCCACCCCAGGCAACATAACTAGGTTAAGGTTAAATTTGCTGTCGCTGCTGTTGCAGCTGCTTTACGATCCTATGAACTGTTAATAAACAGACTGCTGTTAGCGACAGCTGTTATACTTGCTCAGCTGATGTGTTTTTCAGCTGGGAGTGGGTGTGTATCGGATGTACATATATATACATAGGCTTGCATGTGTTTGTGTGCTGTGGGCTGCGTATATTTGCATTTACATATGTATTCACATTGTAGTTTTGAGTTAGTTACGTAACAATGTATGTATTTATGTACATATATATATGTATATATGCCGTAAATGCATATCGATAGCTATGTGCGATGTAGATCATCGATTCATTGTTATCTTATTTTGTATGCATCAGTTGCAGGTCGCGCTGCGCCGACGTCAGCGTGAGCGTCAGAATCGGCAACATCATCAGCAGCTACCTGTTGTAGTACCCGCAGTAATTGGCAAGTTGACGTTTGTCAACTTTTACCTTACGTTTAATCTAGGGAACTGTCAAGAAAACATAGAAACGTCAAACCAAAATCTGAATGTCAGAGTAGGCTGGTTTTAATTGTCAAGTTAAGTTTCTGATTTTTAACTCATTTGCTTTTGCGTTGCAGACTGTTAACCAGGAACAACAAAACGAGACCCCAATCTAAAATCATATAAAAAGGAGAAAGAACGGAAGACTAGCAATAATAATAATAATCAACAGCCACAAATCAAAACCTAATTTAAAACTACAAAAAAAAAAAAAAGAAAAAAAAAAGGAAAACAAGCAAAGTATTTGTTTTTAGTTATCATTCAAACTACGGAATTAATAAAAATCACTTTAGCCTTATATACAACAACAAATACAAACAAAAACAACAAAACTAGAATAGTACCATAAGAAATTGTATGCACGGAAGTAGAAGAAAAGAGAAGAAGAAGAATTAAACTGGATACGCTCTAAGTAAGATAATATAAAGTGCGATAGCTATTGGAGAACGGAACCGAAAGAGAACTAAAACTCCAGCAGAGTGCGAATATCACAATAATTGCCTACCAATTCTCTCGCTCTCTCGTGAATGTCAATTAAGAGGAGCCGCATAAAATACGGGCGACAGGCAGGTAAACAGGAAGTAGCGAAAAAAAACATCTTAAAATACGGCAACGCTGGCAACATTGGCAACAGCTGCAGCGAATTATTACAGCAACTACAAAACGCAACCGCATTCAGCATTAAGAGCGATAGTTGTTAGCGTCGAGTGCCTTTAAACCTGCTGCCGCCGCCGCAGCCGCAGCCGCTGCCAGACGCAAGCAGCAGCAGCGCAGCAGTGGGCAGCGATGAGTACCTAGCAGGAACAACAATAGTGACGTTACCCCAACTGCCTAAGAAATTGCAACTGCGAGACTGCGACAGAGAGTGACTGGAGAGAGGGGAGAGGCAGAGTGAGAGAGTGCAAACGATTATAGGAGAGAAAAAATACATTTTCACAAGTGTAAGCAGCGGAAGTGGGGGGTAGCAGCCTAATGCAAAACAATATGGTGAGCATACCAGCGGCCAATTTGAACGGCGGCCTAAAGGCATCCAACGGCAGCGGAACCGTCGTTGGCGTCGCCGGCACAGTGCTGGCCAATGGGCAGCGCGTATTCCTAACGCCTGCGTCCAGCTATCATTTAGCCGCACGGCAAACAACGGTCAGCGGGTCTGCGACCTCCGGCGTGGGCATGGGTATGGGCATGGTGTCCACGGCCAAAGGCGCCAGCAGCAGCAGTCTTGGCGTTGTCGGCGGTGTCGGCGGTGGCAGCAACGCGACTGCGGCATCATCGGCGAGCACGACGGCGGGCACTGTGCGCTATTTCTCGCAGTTCAGCAAGCTACAGCCGGTGCAGCAACTGCAGAACAGTTCTGGGCAACTAAAGCTGCTCAATGGCGATACGATGGTGTTAGTCAACGGCGCCAAACCGCTCATCTTCACCAATCCCAACAGCAAGTTGCTTACACCAACGACGTCAACAACAATAAATTCAACATCTGCAGCGGCAACAACTACGGCAACAGCAACAGCAACAGCAACAGCAACAACAACCGCAGCAACAACAGTTCCTAATGGTAACAGGGTGTTAATGAACAAGCAGCAGCAACTACAGAAACAACAACAGCCAGCGACTGTGATTGATGAGGTGCAGCAGGAGGAGCTGCAGCTGGAAGATGATGGCGATATGGTCGAGATCAAGCAGGAGGATGGACAGCAACCTCAACAGCAACAGCAGGGTGATCCGATGATCGCCAGCAAAACCACCGATCCCGATGCCGAACCGGAGCTGGATATTGTGATTAACAATGTGGTGTGCTCGTTCAGTGTGCGCTGCCATCTAAAGCTGCGCGAGATCGCGCTGAATGGCTCCAATGTGGAGTATAGGCGGGAAAATGGAATGGTCACCATGAAGCTGCGTCGTCCCTATACAACGGCCTCCATTTGGTCATCCGGTCGGATTACGTGCACGGGCGCCACCTCTGAGTCGCAGGTAAGGCATCCTCTCAAGATTACATTCATCCAGGCACTTACTATTTTTTGATTGTAGGCCAAGATCGCAGCTCGGCGCTATGCGCGCTGCCTAAGCAAACTCGGATTCCCGACCCACTTTCAAAACTTTCGGATCGTGAATGTGCTCGGCACCTGCAGCATGCCATGGGCCATCAAGATAGTCAATTTCTCGGAGCGCCATCGCGACAATGCCAGCTATGAGCCCGAACTGCATCCGGGCGTGACGTACAAGATGCGCGAGCCAAAAGCAACGCTTAAGATCTTCTCCACGGGCAGCATAACGGTAACAGGTAAGCGAAATGGAAGCTGGCTGGGAGAGGAGGAACAAGACTGACTTCTATATTATAATTCATACACATAAAAATCAGAGTATTCAGTTGTTAAATCTCAATTTTCCATATGTACAGCCGCCAGCGTGAACGACGTCGAATCCGCCATACAGCATATATATCCTTTGGTGCACGAGTTCCGTAAGCAGCGCTCTGCAGAGGAGCTGCAGCATCTGCGTCAAAAGAATCGTGGCCAGGCCGGCGACGAGCTCAGCGATCAGGAGCAGCAGCTGGCGTCGGAGAGCAAGAGCCAGGACAAGGATGATGAGTTTTTGAACCCCAGCGCAACACACTCAGAGGCTGGCAGCAGCCTCTACTCTGGTTCTCTGTATGCGACCCGTCGCACAGAGCAGGTAACCAGCAGCAGCACCAGCAGCAGCACCACCAGTGGCGGTGACAACATCTGTGCCAACGCACGTCGCCGGGCTACCGAGTGCTGGGCTACCAAGCTGCAGAACAAACGTCCGCGCTACAACGATCCGGGGTCGACGACAATTGCCTCCGCCGGTCACATGGGTCGCGCTGGGAGCAGCAGCTGCAGCAGCACCGTCGTCAGCGGCAGCTACAGCGCCAACTTCAGCGCCATTGGAGTGGCAGGCGGCTCTGCCGCCTCCGCGACGACGGGGCAACTGCGCTTGGGCAAGCCTCTCGTGCCCGTCGATGTGATTCTGAAACAGACCAGCTCGCGGGCGCGTAACGCGGCAATAGGCGCCACTGCTGGCGACAATGGGTTCTATACCAAGCGCGAGACGTTCTCTCCAACGGATTTCCAAGTGGACGATCTGATCGAGGAGGATGACGACGAATTAGGCATGCACTTTTAGGAGCATCCAATGGAACAAATTGAGCCGAGCAAGCGAATGAAATTTGGTGAATCAGTCAGAAGTTTCCCATGCCAAATTTATCTAAGAGTTTTACGAATGAGAAACGTGAAGAAACGAGCAAAGCATGCAAACACTCACACAGACATATACACACTCACTGAGACACAGAGACGCATGTTATGGAATTTCTTATGTGCTCTGTAAATGCATTTAACATAAGCTTCACATAATGTTGACAGACAACCTCAACAAAAACACATATAAACGCATGCATACATATGTGCATGTATTCAAATACATACACATACATTCAGTGTGCAAGCGATATGAGCAACTGCAGCATCAGCAGCGTCAACAAAGGACGGCGAATTCAAAATCCAAATCAAATATTTTCTATACAAAAAATTAAAAACAAAAACCCATGAGCCAAATATTTATTATTAAGGTGAGTCTAAAATAATCGTTGATATTAACTCTTTTATTAAGATGTATTTGCTGTCTATATGAATATTGCTCTTATAGCTAACAACAACTGAGTCATTTAATCGCTACGTCATAAAGTAAAGCGCACGTGCATTGTGATTGAGTGACTTGCTGTTGAATTACGTATCTTTGTAGATATATGATGCATTCTTTATGTTGCAAATAAGTTGGGTACCTTTTGACATAATTGTAACCGTTTCGTATTCTTTTTGCAGATTACGTTTAGACAGAGCAAAGTACGTAGATGACAATTGACGTACAGCGAGACTACAGACACGGCGATTAAATTGATCAGCTTCTGCGAGATGGTATAAATTAATTTTACCATATGCATGTTCACATACACACATATATAGACTAAATGTAACAAATATCAGCAAATGTGTGCGACACACATACGTATAAATGAATACATATGTCATTTACATATACGTATTGAAACCCTCAATAACTGCAATTACGATGATAATCTGCAACAGCGACCCGAACTCAATGGAACAAGTGAAAACTGGAAGTTAAGCAACTATTACACACAAACAAACAAACAAACAGATCAGATCGACATAAACAGTCGATTTCTTCGCGATACCAATCCGTATTGTAAATACATATGTATGTAATTACGTATGTCAGCAAACCACCGCCTAATAAATACTGTTACTACACTTTTAACAAAAGCAAAAACAAAAACACTATGTAATAATTTTAGTGCTATGTTTTTTCATTTACATTTATTTAGTTCAATGATAAATGSAACTTTTTAATCCTTTGCTGTACAGCCGCTGTTACGGTTAGCAAGAAATACAAAAGCAAAAGTAAATGTTATGCAGCTGTTACGTCACAATTCAGCAGCCGGCATTGCACATAACGAATCCCAAGAAAAGAAAAATGAAAACAATTATGTTTTAACTAGCACATTTATTTAGGTTTTTTTTTTCTAATTTTTTAATATTTAAATTTGATTATTTTGACAATTGAATTTTTTATTTTTTTTTTATTATATGAAATGATAAAAGCAATTATACTTTTAGAAAGTTCTTGAGAAACAACAATTAGTTTCGGTTCAACTTAAATGTAGTGCATTATTATTATTGTAAGGGATTATTTTAGACTTTTTCTGTTTTTAATTATATGTTAAGTGTTTATTAGTTATTCAAAGTTAAGCAATTATATATCAAATATGTATAATTTATACAACATATATACATACTACACTTATATCTGGTCACTTGTAAACCAATAACAAAAATACGCAAAATATGCTAAAACAAATTAATTTAATTCATTAAATTTACACTTTATACATTGCATATATGGAAAGGGCAGAAAAACATATTACATGTACATCCAATTTGTCAACTGTCCGTTCATTCCGTGAGAAAACAGAATCTTACGAGGGTCAACATATTTATATTTTTTTTTTTTTCATAATTTTTTTAAGATTTAAACTTGTTCCTGTGTTGTTAAAATGAAAATGAAGAAAAACAAATCGAAAACAAAAATGTAGTTTATAAATTAATTGTATTTAACATGCGCACCCGCGCGCATTTACACACACACATACGTCAATGCTTGCATTCATAATAGCCGCAGCAACAACAATAAGAGCGCTCACAAAATCATAAGCAATAAATATTGTACATTTGACATATAGAAAACAAATAGATATGTAAACCAATGTAAAGAGCAAGAAGAGAGGATAACAAAATGCGTTTAATACGTAAATACATGCATGCCTATTTATATACATACATACATATATGCGTAATCTACAGTTATTTATCAGCAGCAGAAAGTAAAAGAATATGATACGGAGAGAAAGCGTAATGAAACAACACGTCGCCAATTCTTGGTCGCTTTATGCGTTCACGCACACAAAGCGCAACAGAAAGAGTAAGCGCGAATGAGACTGAGTGGGTATAGGCGGAGGGAGAGAGAGGATTGCAAATGGAATGGAACGCTAGTGGATATGCATGGTCACGTGCATTGTGCATATTAATGGCATACATACATTTGTACATGAATATGTATGTATGGGTGCTTGTATTTAACGTGAGTTTTCTCTTAACAAAAGGAAATCGTAACATGTTTTCATGCCATACTTCGCCGTTAACATTTTTTGGCAGAACAAGCACATCAATTGTTCAATTCAAATTTGTACATAGCTACGTAATTATTTAGACAGGCATAAGTACACACATACACACACACCCAAATACAAAACCGATCAACCCTAACACTATCCACCACACCTAACTGCTGGAAAGCAAATGTGAATAGTTATTAAAGCATAAAAACCAACACGAAATATCAATGCATATGCCTTATGTATGTTATGCGTATATTAAGAGAAACTACACATACACACGTATGTATGTACATATCTATATATGTACGCTTGCAATGGCCGTTGCTTTTCAAAAATTCTTATGTTCGTCTTCTCTCATAAGTTAACAATTAATAAAAATGGTTGGTGATATCTCTTCATCCGTTTATCTATTTATCTGTCGTTTTGTCTCCTTCAATTGAGCTAAAATTAAAATAAATATATTTAAGTTACTGCATTCCGAAATTTAGTTTGAATATTTTTTCCTTTATAAAACTGTTTTAATATTGTTTACAATCCTGTTTAAAAATGGTTTCTTAAACATACATACATATATATGTATGTATGTAATTCTTTTTCTTCAGTGCGGACGTCCGCAAATAAAATATTCGTTCATATCGTTCAATATTATGCATAATCAGAATACAAATCATTAGCAGAGGTTACAAAACTAACGTAATTACACTTACACTCACATACATACATACATACATACATACACACACATACACACATAAATTCATATATTAATGATATCAATTTGGCGATATTAACTAGAATTTTAAAAACAAAAGTTCACTTGAATGTATTTCGCTTTTTTGTATTAGTGTGTAAAATTATATGTACATATATATACATCAATGAAGGCCTAAATTAAAGTAAATTATTATATATTATTGATGTATGTAAAACCCAACAAAAACAAATTGCCTTTAGGGAACAAATAAAAGTGTGTGGAAGATGACTAAAAAATGAAGCCAAGCAGCGAACCAAAATTTATTTTTGTGTGAATGCTAAGCAGTTAGATAAGGTGGGAGAAAGAGGGGGATACGAAATCTAAGCTTACGCAATCTAGATGAATAAAAAAAATACAATTTACATTTACCTAGTATATATAAAGTAACTGTTACAACTATAATGACAAAACTCTTCAAAAAGGGAAGCAAAAAACTAAAACTAAACTAAGTTAAGATTCTTCTTGAAAGTGAAATACCATTCTAACTGCCTTCA